TTTTTTTGTCTCTCAAGCCCTCCCAAATTTTAATACCATCTCTTTATCCTGCTTTTCTAAAATTACATATAGACGTGTCTAAGTGTGGAACATTTGTTAACCCCTCTTAGAAGGTGTTGGGTCCTTTAATTTTAAGATTAGATTTTCTCTTCAACTCTGGGAAACATTTTATTTTTCCAGCGATTTCCTCCTCTAGTTACTCTTGTAGTTTGAAACAAAACAGACACAGTAGCTTTTTATAAATATTACTATAAAACTATGAACCTTATTGAATGCACAGAATTACTAAATATATAAGGTTTAATTAATCTTAAGTGATATTCTGTTTGTCAAGCTGTTTAAAATTGAGAAGATTTTGTGTATTAAAACTCATTGATGAAGGTAATATGGAAGAAAGTTTGAGTGAAAATTAACGTATTTCAGACACTTCTGAGTTTTTCTTAATGATATTTTTTTAAGTGAGTTAATTCTCTTTTGAGGTTCTAAAGTGTATATGTATCCATAAGTATTCAAATTGCCATTTATTCATGAAAAAGAATTATAAAATCTCTTCTCAGTGTTAGTAATAATCCACAGGTTGGAAAGCACCTATCACTTTTTTAAGGGAAAAAAACAGCTTTTGTAAGATATAATTGACATACCATATAATTCACTCACTTAAAGTTTACAGATCACTGTTCTTCAGTATATTTACAGAGATATTTAACCACCACCACAGTCCGTTTTAGAACATTTTCATCCCCCCTAAAAGAAACCCCATTGGTGGCCAGTCCCCATTTCCTACCTTCCCCAGTCCAAACAGCCACTACTCTACTTTCTGCCTGTTTATCTTATTCTGGACAGTTCGTGGACATGAAATCATCTAAGATATGGGCTTTTGCGCAAAGTGTTCTCAAATGTCATCTCTGGAAACATGTCAGTACTTTATTTCCTTGTATTGCTGAATAATATTCCTTTGTGTCTTGTGGCTGTTAAACCAGTACTGTAGCACTTATCCTAAAATCTCCAGTCCTTTAGAGGTAAATTTTTATAATATTTTACATTATTAATCTATTTGCAGTAATTTAGTACCTATTTGTAATTCATCGTTTTGTTTGAGATTGGGGGTATATAATTCCTGACATTTCTTGACAAAATAGTATAAAGTAACACATCTATAATACATAAGATGTATTCATTTTTATAGGGTTTGATGTAGATACCCCAGATGATTTGGGCAGGACCTGTCTACATGCAGCTGCGGCTGGAGGGTACGTCAACAAAATTCTCAATTTTTTATGAGACAGGTAGATTATTCGTGGCAGTTTTTCTCTTCTCTTCATTTTTCCTTACTAGTTTTGGGCTACCACAAAATAGAAAACAGACGTAGGAGGAGAAGAAAGTTCCAAGTGGTAGAAATTGCTTTTTTAATCTTTTTCCACCTTAGCCATAAGTTGTGAGTGGGGGAGAGAGAACAGGCCTGCCTACAAAAGGAAGTATTGCTTTCTATAAGGTCATTCCTGGATAAATGAAAAAATACATCCATAAATGAGAGCGTCAGAACATTAGGAATGCTCTGAGGAAGGTGTTTGGGGTTTTTTAATCATGATTTCAGAAAAAAATATTGATGGTCTGTTTTGTCTTGCCTCTACTCTATGTAGGAAGAGGAAATTATGAGACTGAAAGATTTTTGGACAAAGTATTAAGTATTACTGCTAGGGGAAACTAAGCAGTTGGTTTGAACAACAGGCTTCAACTAAACCCTTGGTGTCAGAAGCATACTGATAATCTAATGTTTCTGATCATTTAGATCCTAAGTCTATAACAAGTCATTTTCCTGATGACTTACCAAAAGGACATGCCCAGGAATTTTATTTCCAATAATAATTCCAATAGAACTCCTAGTGGTTTCAGAGGACAGGTGTGCTGAACCACCAAGACTACCACTAGAGCAGTCTGAGTTGAAGAAATGGATTGTGAACACATGTAACTGGGTGTTCTAGTTCTCCCAGGGTCACCAAATAACTTCCCATTTCAAACCTAGTTTCCATGTTATTTGCCTCCAGAGAGAGGAACAGCAGACAACATGAGTGCCCCTGCTCAGCTGGTAGTTACGGTTTTCATTGTAACCTTGTAAATTATCTGATACTGATGTTCAGGTTGTCAAAAATTAAATTACAGAAATACCCACAAGTGTAATGTACTCTCCTACAATTTTAACTAAGGATACATCTAAGTAAGCAGTCAGAATATAGAAGATAAGGGAAAGCCAACTTGGGACATTATCTGTGTTTTCAAGTTCAATATTTTTTTTAACCCATTTTAATTTAATTTAGGATTACATTCTAAATAAGATGAATTTTAATATTTTTATTCTTCATAAAATATAAATCATGTCATCTTATTCACTTTACTCACATTTGAAAATTTCCTTTTATACTTGTTTAAACCCAACAATTTCATTATAAAATTACTGACAATTCATCTTCTAAACTGTATTTTCTCTGGATAGGAATTTGGAGTGCCTAAATCTTCTGCTGAATACTGGTGCAGATTTCAACAAAAAGGACAAATTTGGGAGGTAGGGTGTGATACAGTTCCTCTGTAGACCGTAATAAATGTTAGAAGTTAGCCTCTTTTACATTGTAATCATGATTCACTAAAAGGTCTAAATAATGATTCTCACCCACAAACTTTTTCGACCTGGGCCCCTGCCACAGCCACAGCCTGCCAGCCACAGCTTTACCTTATAAGCATCTCTTACCTTTTCATGTCCTTCCTCCTCCTCCCTATAGTACAGCCACGGAAATGAAAACTCCGTGGCGCCCGTGTTCCTTCTGGAAACTCCGAAGACTTGGAGCTCAGTAGTGCACTCGTCCTTTCCCTCCTCCGAGCGTTCTTTTGTCAGAGACTCCGCTGCCCATGTTTGGTTGCAAATACATATATGTGGCTTTTTGCTCCTCTTCTGTCACTTTCTGCACACACATAGACACACACCAACACATCCACACACACCCTTGAGTATGATCTGAGGAAGCACCTGTAAAATGAGTCCCTTCATAGTCACTCAGCCGGTCCTCATTCTCACAGTTCAGCCCAGGTCTCACTTTTGCGAGCAGGCGTGGTAGCAGTGCCCATAGCTCCCTTTATCTACTGCGTTACTTAGAGTAGGAATTGCCCTAGAGTGGCAGAACCATACAGGAGAAGACTGAAGACAGTTTGAACTGGTTTGAAAAATAGAGGTGGCCGTCAAGAGTTTGAGCATAGTTCCAAAGCCAGTGACAAGAAGGAGTGTGTGTATCAGAAGGAAGTGTGTGAATGTGTGTCAGTGCATGTGAGTGGGCAGTGCCAAAGGAAGTAGAGCTGTGTATGTAGGGAGTCAGAAATACATGTAAGAAAAGAAACTGTTCAAACCCATAATTACTTTGAAAAACAGATTGTTCTCCTAAGCCTGTTAATGAAAGGAACTAATGACCTACAAAATCAAAAATAATTGTGGCTTTGGAATGCAGTGTTTTTATAGCTAATTTGCTATATAACTATATTTTAATCCAGCTTATATTGGTTAATTTGTAGCACTTGAAGCATTTTATGATACAAATAGCAGAGGGCTTCTGAAGCATATTCTGATGGTAGAAGCTTGAAAGTAACTCAGGGTTTAATTGCATTTATAGAAATGCTATTACTATACCATACTATTATCCAATAAAGTTAAATAATGTTTTACTATTGTTTCACGAGGTAAATGTTTTCGAAAAAATTATACCATGAAGATTCTAGACTAAATTTGCCTTCACTCTTCTGTTTTCTTCTTTTTTTAATGAAAAGTCGTGGAATCATCGTAGTTTTATAATCTAAAGGCAGGGACTCCTAAATTTAGTAACGTTCTGTTTTATTTCAGTAACTGGAAAGAAATTGGCTATAAATACTCAGTATTTAGAAATTGAAACAGTACATCAACTCTTCTGAATAATAAACAATCCTCAGAACTGCATTTTTTGTTTGGAAAATGATATTACTGTGTACCTCTACATACAGTTGATGTAACAGCATTCTTCTTAATGTTTCCATATTTCTCTTACCCCTTTATTCCTCTACTGAGACATGAACAGAAGCTGCTATCTCTGTACTATGAACCGTTTTTATTAGTATAGGAGAAGCTGTTGTTAAAATGAAAGTTTTTATGTTTCTGAGCAAAAGATGAAGGGTATCTGTAATTCACTCAGAAGACTGGAATTGTTACTCTCTGGGGAGATGAAATACTATAGCTATGGCTATCCTTATTTCCTATTCTTAGACGTTCTCTGCCAGTTTACATTTTCTCCTTGCTTTCTGTCCAGCCCTCCAAAAGCCTTGGTATATGGCAGAAATCAATCTTCAGGCTCACTATAAACACAGTTATTTGTAATTGAATGTGGATTGAGAGTCAGCTGTGCTATTGTTTACTGGTGTCTGTCCATGACTTTTTTTTGTTATATATTAACTTGGACACAAAAGATCTCCACTGCACTATGCTGCTGCCAACTGCAATTACCAGTGCCTGTTTGCTCTTGTGGGCTCAGGAGCAAGTGTGAATGACCTTGATGAGCGAGGCTGCACCCCCCTGCACTACGCGGCCACATCAGACACAGACGGCAAGTGAGTACCGTGTGGAGAGAGTGAAGGCTTGCTGCCTCTGTAGACCAGCATCTTCCACATAGACGGCTGCTTATTTTGGAGATGTATTATTTCCTTTTTGAACTTTTTGTTGTTGATTATCTTTCCCTGAGCCTCTGGTGAGAGAAATGAATTGATTTTATAAGTATTCCTAAGTTATAGTTATTGCTACCTATTTCTACTCAGCAGCTGGCCATATTGACAGATGTGGAAGAAGAAAGAGAAAGACCCTCTCATCCTCCCAGCCAGAAACACATCTTGCTGTCACCTCATGTGTTTTCCATCTGACTTCTTGGCTGCAGCAGCCTTGAGTATATCACAGGGAGGGGGAAAGAGAGGAGAGAGGTAGACAATGCCATCAAAGGTTGGGCAGAAAACTGAAAACCAGTACTCTTCAGAGGTAGAATGTTCATATTTTCAAGGGATCCTTATAAATTGGTATCCAGAAAAGGGAGTACTTGAGCTGACAGAATCTGGCACATAGTTGGTACTATATATTGTTTAAATAAATGAATTAGATAATGAAATAAGTAAATGTTGGCCAAGAATGAAAGAATGAGAGAGAGAAATTCTTTCATCATTAATGCTCACCTGAAGTTGATGAGATCCTTACTGTGGATTGCCTTCTTGGAAGGAAATACTCATTGGAGACAGGGAAGAAATCCTCGTGTCTGTGATATTCCTTATGTCTGAGTCACTGAAGAGTAAAAATACCTGCAGGAAAAACAATTAATGGTTTCTGGGGAAAGATTTTATGAAGTAGACTTCAAGGAAGTTGTGTTTAACAGAGAATTATTTGGTTGGTTTTTAGTATTTACTGTTCACCCTCAGTATAAAAAGCATAATTGATAGTATTATTCACAAGTGTTGATTTATTATAAATTCTGTAACTAATTTCAAAGCCTTATCTATAAGTAACACTTTGTTGTGTTAGATTTGGGACTGAAATTCTAATCTTGAAGCACTAGTAAAATGTATTTTCTGTTTGCAGGAATATCAGAATAGTTAGGTACTGATAGATTTTGGGCAAAGTTGAATTATCACAAGTATGTTTTTGGATAGCTCTTTAAAAAAATCTGTGATAAACATTTTATAAATCAGAAAATACATTGGTAAACTTGGGTAAGTAGATTTCCCTCAGATTTATAAATTTTGTTATTTTAAGATTTGATTTATAAAATTTCTAAAAATAGGTTATACCTAAAATGGCTTATTGCCATCAATAGCACTTTACCAACTGGTTCTTGGTGTCACACAGCATTATCTACATAAATTGCACTGAGAGGTCACACATACCACACAGAGATTATGTGGTCCTCCTGCCCTTCAACAAATATGTTAAATCTGAATTGTTACACAAAAACAAAAGGATAGCAATGTTCAACTCCTACTTTTTGTGATTTGTGGCTCTATTTTAAACCAATCTACTTTACTATAGCAGTGTAATTAATCTTTAGGTTTTTTTTGCCTAATATAAACTTTTCTGAGCAATAAGCTACTGATATTTATTATTTAAAGAATTCTCAGGATCTACACCAAGCAGCCAGATGTACTAGAAAGAACATGAACTTTGAGATCTAAACAATACACTCTAAATCTTGGGGTCCCCATATTATGTACCTCTTTGAGCCTCAGAAGCAATTACTAAGCAAAACCCTATCTGTAAAAATTAGAATGAAACCTACTTAGAAAATTGTGGGGAAAACTGAGCTCATAAGTATAAAAAAGCATAGCACTATTTTTTGGAACCTCTGTTTCTACACTTCAAAGTGTCAGAAATCCCACAGATCCTGGCTAACACTGTGACTTACTGACTGCAGTGGTTGGTTTGCTGAGACCCAACTGGAAGCTGGGAGCCACAGTAACCATTTTAAGATACCAGTGGCATCTTTTCAATAAGTGATTGTTTTAGAGACTGAAATAGTAGCATTAAAGTTTTGGGTTATTTTTCTAAATTACAAGGATATAATTCCCAGGAATAGCTGCATAGTAAGCGAATCTAGCATGATTAATTAGTACTTCTGCCAAAGCAAGTGTGAAATATTTTCTAAATGAAGAAACAAATTTCCCACAACTTCAAATTACCATTATTCATTATGTGTTGGTTTGATTTTTTTTATGATTGTTTATTAATGCCCTGTCAGCATCCCAAGGGAAAGTTGTTTATATCTTAGAATTTTTGACACTGACATTTTTTTCTGCTGTTCAGAAGTACATAAGTAATTATAAGTTTCCTCTTCTTTATGTTCCTCCATCCTCACTTTCAGTAAATACTGTAAAAATATACATGAAGTCTTTTCTGATTTACTCTGCTCGTCACCCCCATCATCCTAATACCTGTATTCTCTACCACAGTCATGACTCAGCCAACAAAAATATTGTTGTCATAAGAAACTTATTAAGTGTATTAAATATTAACAAATAAAATTCTCTTTGCCAGTTGAAGAGAAGTAGGACTGGCTTTGAGCAAAATGCTAAGGATCTCCCCCATTCCTCTGTGTGTATAAGAGAAGGGGAAGGCCAGGAGTTGTTTTTCCTGATTACTGTATAAGAAAGAAAGCCTCATGCCTGTTCTCCTGAGATAATCAACATTATCAAGAGTAATTCTCTATGTGTGTATAGATCATTTCATGTCCCTCACAATCTTATCAAAATTAAAGACCTAGTATGTGCCGTTCCTTAGCCTTTTCTATGTTCATATAATTGTGTATGTAAATGTGTTTATGAATGCATAGATACATTTCATCAAGATCCACTTTTATGGTGATAGTTGGCATTTTTCTCAAAAAACAGATTGTATTTTGACTTTTAATAGCATTATTTTTGCCTGTTTTGAACTTTATATATATGGAATCATACAGTTTTTTAAAGAATTTTTATAATCCTTAGATTTATTAATAAGCAGTTGATATTTTTATTGCCAAAGTTAATATATCTTTAAATTTCCTTTTGCTGTGACATAGTGAACTGCATTTGACTTTTACATATGTCTTTATATCCAGTGACCTTGTTAAAACACATTTCATTCATATATAACATTGGCTCTGCCACTTGTGGAACCTTGAAAAATTCCTTATCCTCTCTGTGACCATTTCGTCTGTGAAATGGGGGTGTTGGTCTGACCTATCTCATATAGACATAGGTGGTACAGAATATCGAAATCCTTAGAACAGTACCTGATATACTGTAATCTTCCTGTAATGATTAGCTGTAGTTTTTAATCTATGCTTTTTTTTTGTAAAAATAGACACTATTGTACACCATGATGGGAGGGAGTAGAGAAAGGAGGGCCTCTGCTAACAATACCACATTCCCTGCCCTGGACTGAGTGGTTCTTATCCAGGGCTCTGACCAGCCATGAGACATCGATGTAAATTGGTCTGAACTTGCAGCAGAACTCAGAAGTGGTAGGAAGGAGTTCATGGGTGGTGGGGGAGAGTAGGAGAAATTAAATTGTTGGCAACGCACTCTGATTTAAATGATGTGCTTAATTGGAACAAGGATATTCCATTTTTCTAGCATATTAAACAATATGTAACAGTAAGTGTAGTATATTACTTAGCTAATAAGCCATAAATATTCCTCCAGATTTGCATACAGTTTATGTCACGGGAAGGAGAGAATATATGGTATTTTCATTTCTTACTTTTCTGAGTGTTATAAAATATGAGCATGTGTTAATTAAAAGCACGATCCAGATTTGTAAATCAAATTATTTGGTGATTCAGTATTTATAAGCACCCAGGTTAAAGCATCACTCTTAACTCATTAACCCCTGTGCTTGAAGCATTTCATAGCGTGGAAATAACACTGGATGAAAAGAAGACCTGAGTCTTTGCCATATTCTAGCCAAAAGATTTGGAAGCCATTTAATTTTCCAGAGCATCAGCAATTTGTTGTTGTTGTTACATGGCAGTGCTTATCTCAGAAAGTAGTTGTGAAAATTGGTACTGCTTTGCAAAATTTAAAAGGCATATCAATAGAAGGAGTTTTATCACTATAAATAACTCCTAGTCTTTGTTTTGTTACAGAAGACCATCTGAGCTATGTGAATGTAAAAAATTAAAGAATATGATTTCATAAGAACTACTGCATGTGTAACAGTTAAATTATTTCAGACCATTTAATGCTGTATACTGGAACTAGTCACTATAAATAAACCTTGAGACAAGCTCTCCTGCTTTAGAAAGTAAACAGGCACTTACCTACTTGTTTTGGGTTTTTCAATACTCAGGTATCAGCAAATTATCTTAAAAATAGTGTGTTCCACTGATAGAATCCTTCTTACATTCAAATCTCAGTGAGAACAACTGTTTGTTTTATCACTCACATCTAGAGAACCTGATTAAAGATTAAAGGCCTTGAGTGAAGTGTTTGTGCCTATAAAGTGATGTGATTGCCCTTCAGCCCTGCAGGTCTTTCCTCCACCTCAGTGAGCCAGGCACCTAGGAAGACTTTAGAGTCTACACACTGCCTGAAACACTTGCCATCGTGCCCTCAGAGTTAGTTCATGAACACCAAAAAACACCATTCTGGGACTTCAGAGCCAGATTTGGGCTTTTTGATCATAGTGATATGACACCCTGTTCACTGTGACTAATATCAAAATCTCACTTAAAAGGGTGAACATTTGCTACCACTGAGGGTATTGTAATAAATATAGATCCTGCAAGTAGTTTCTAAGAGATCTAAAGGATTTTAAGCAATTCAGCATTAAATAAGTAAGGGCTGGCATTGAAAAGAATGACTATATATATAATTGAAATATAGTTGATGTGCAGATTTGTATTGGTTTCAAGTCTACAACATAGTGATTCAACAGTTTTACATTATTAAATCCTCATGCCTACTAGTATAGTTACTATCTTTCAACACAGAAAGATATTACAGAACTATTGACTATATTCTCTGTGCTGTACTTTCATCCCCATGACTAATTTTTATTATGATTGAGATTTTGTGCCTATTGTCCCCTTCACCTATTTCACTCACCCCAACCCCTCCCCGATGGTAACTACCAGTCACTTCCAGTGTCCATGAGTCTACTCCTGTTTTGTTCATTTTGTTTTAGATTCCACAAATAAGTGAAATCGTATGGTGTTTGTCTTTCAGCCTGGCGTATTTCATGGAGCATAATACCCTCTGGGTCCATCCATGTTGTCACAAATGGCAGGATTTCTTTCTTTTTATGGCTGAATGATATTCCATTGTGTATATGTACCATATTTTCTTTATTCATTCATCTATTGATGGACATCTAGGTTGCTTCCATATCTTGGCTATTGTAAATATGTGACAGTAAACACAGGGGTGTATATATATTTTCAAATCAGAGGTTTTGTTTCTTCACATACATTCCTAGAAGTAGTACTGCTATTTTTAGTTTTTATATGACTGAATTTTTAACAAGGAATATTTGATAATAGGTTTTTTCCTCCTTGTAGTAAAATTAATACTTAGACATATTGCAATATTTAGACAAATCATCACTGAATAATTAAAGACTTGAAATTTGAGCATGAATGGATTTTAGATTATTTAGTTGGATTCCTATCCCCATCTATCAAATGAATAAACAGAGGCCATTTCACCATAGTTGGAAAAGATGCTTGATGTGATTTCAATCTTATAAGGGTGAAATGATTTGCCCAAGATCACTGTTGTCAAATTAATTCTGAAACATATCTTTTAATTTCTAATTCATACTCTCTTTTTTTTGCTACAGTAACAATAAAATTTATTAAAGTCATAGCATATTGTGAACCTTTTTAGTACCTTTTAAAATTACTTTCCTCATATTTTAATAGCACAGGAATGAAATCTGTCTCCCATGGGAAAACCTATCCTGTTACCTATATACACTTTTACACTGTTCACACATTTCTCAGCCTTTAATTCAAGATCGTTGAATTCTCACCTTGGTTTCATGAGACTTTTTTACATCTTTTTTTGAGCTTCCTAATGAGGTATTACACTTACTCTATTCGAGATAGAGGAACAGTAACATCGCCAGCACTTGATGCTTGCCACCACCGAGAGTTCAGTCCTACCAGATGTTGTTTGTATGGGGTAGCTGGAATCTTAGATGGTGACTGTAGAAACAGCCGTCAGGTATACTGCACTTGTTGACAGACCGTGAGGTATCCACTTTGAATGAAGAATCTTTTATTAATGTTTTGTTTGTATTTTTATGATAGTTATAATTGTCATTTAGATGACAAATTTATGTGGTATAAATATGTTTATGATTTTTACATCACTCAAGTATAAGAAAAATTGTCAGTTTTTAGTTTCAAACTGTGTTTTTATCATTGGTTAAAATGCAGGATGTAGAATTTTGAATATGTTGTTACTCTGTATAGGTGCCTGGAATACTTACTAAGAAATGATGCAAATCCAGGGATCCGGGACAAGCAAGGATACAATGCAGTTCATTATTCAGCTGCTTATGGTCACCGTCTATGTCTTCAACTGGTAAGATTCCTAAAGTCTTATGGAAGGACCAATGTGAATTTATATTCTAATAATGTAATGAAAATAAGAATAAATTAATCAAGAAACAATTTCTATTGCCTTTTAATATTTTTAGCATCTATACACCTCTTAAATTCATACTTAACTCAATAAGATACCTCTCATTTCCTTTTCCCTTTCCAGGAGAAAGGAGAAAGATCTCTAGAAAGGGCTGCTAATGTCCTTCCCTTATATTACAAATATGTGTAGCATTCACTCCCCCCCGCCCCTTTAAATAGATGTTTTCCAACAGTTCACCCATATAGTTAGGGAATTCTGAAAGACCCATTCTTTTAACAGTCCCTCCTGATAAGGGAGATTACTTCTGCAAAGGAATGTTTTATTTCAACTGCAAACTCATTATTGAATATACACAGAAAACCAAAGTGCAAGTATGGGGCAAGTTAAAGGTTCTCAGTTGTGTAACATGCTTCAAACTAAAGGTTTCTTTACTTCGACTTACCTTGTAAGTTATATGTTGCTTTCTTTCAAGAGGGAATAAATTTAAGGAGAATGGATATAAAAGAAAAAGGAGGCTGACATATTTAATACTGCATTTAGAACCCTGCTACAGAAATAAAAAATATTACCTTAGGTTATTATGTTGTCTTTACACTAAAATTTTAAACCCATGAATATAGATTTGTGGTCTATTGTGTAGTTATTTAAAAGACTTAATTTTGGGAGTCAAAAGATAGAAATTTTGGAGACACAGGCTCTGTATAGAATGTAACAAAACCCTGTGTAAATAGAGACCTGTAGTTAACATATATCTCTTTAATATATATGAATATTTCCTAAACTAAATATTTGTATTTTAAATTTTACTACAGATTGCAAGTGAAACTCCTTTAGATGTTGTAAGTATTGGTCAATTTCCCCCCTACTATTCATATTATTATTATTTTTTACTGTCACTAGAGCCTGTTTTACACATTCTTGGGAACAGAGACAGTGACCCAAATTGTGTCTGTATGGGGGAGGGTATCTCTTAGTTGGTAATAATTAAGTCACATTTCCCTCAAGCTTTTTAGTCAGTAGCTCTCCCTGAAAGGGCTTAGTCTGTGGTCCTTAGCACACTTGTAGGGTAATGGGTTGTATAAGCCTGCCAAGTCTAGTTTTCACAATACATGGTCTGGAATGTTTAATTCATATTCAAGTATCAATTTTTACTCCAGTGTGTATTTGAACTTGGGGTAGGGGAAGCAGAAATAATTGCTCTTTAAAAGTATCGCTTCTGACATTTAACATACTTTTCTTTCTCAGTTAATGGAAACCTCAGGAACAGACATGCTGAGTGATTCAGACAATAGAGCAACAATAAGCCCTTTACACTTGGCTGTGAGTATCGCCTTCACAGCCGCTTGTGATGGCTGGCTTGCTGAGAACATCTGTTTGTAGTGATGTGAACTAGTACCCAGGACTTAGGGTCCATGTCATGATCATGGAGTTAAAACCTCAAGAACTTTTTAATTCAGAGAATTTTTGAGTGCACTTTTGTTGTGTTGTTTTGTTTTAAAAAAACTAAATGATCTCTCGGCCCACTCTAGGAGAGAGAATATACCTGTGTTATGAATGTTAAAGTGCACTGCCCTAGTGGTCCAGTTTCTAACTGGCTAAGAAGATTGTATAAGAACTATGATTTTGTTGTATTTCTATAACTTTTTGCTTACTGTGTAATCTTGGGGCACCAACTCCATGTGTCTTCACTGGTCCTTCAGTCGCTCATACTATAGGATTTGGCTATATGATCTGTAATGTCCTTTCTAGCGTAAGATACTGATGAATTTTTCTTCTTAATGTCAGTCACTAAGAAAAGGTGAGGAGAGAGCATGACAATTCTTTAAATCAAATAAAGGAATGAATTACCTTAGGAATTTCGAGCGTTGCTCAGTCTAGTTCTGTGCTGAGAGAATTGATTTTTGAAACAAAGTTGGGGGTGTAGAGAACCCGGAGACTTGGGTACTGACCCCAGCTATTTGTGAGACCTCTGATTTTAAGTATAACAAAATGCTTTTATAAGGGTATATATTTAAGTTAATGTGGATCACTACAAGTTCAGTGATCCACTTAATTGTTTCTTCTCATAGATAGTATTTTTTATCTTAATATTCTGCTTGCATACTTTCTAACAGTGACACATATGTACAATAAATTTTCTGCTTTGTCTTTCTGCTCCTTGCTCCCGACTAGTACTTCCTGCCATGTTCAGAATAACTAAGAAGGCATTCTGAAGCTTCCTGCTTCCTTGCCCTTTGGGTCTTTGGAAATACTATCTACTCTTCCAGACTTGCATAGTAAATAAGTCATCTGAAAGGGCAAAGCCAACTTGGAGAGAACAGGCATTTCCTGTGGTGGCAAAGAGTGAAGTCTGAGCAGATGACTAGGCCCCTTTTCTTGCATCATCATTGCTCTTATAGTGACTCTGGCAATTCCTAAGCACTTACTAGGTGCCAGACTTAGCACTTTGCCAAATTTTTTAATGCATTATCTCAAAAGTTGTAGTGTCTTTTTACTAGTTTTTTTATTCCGTGGCTATTGTGAGTAGTGCTGCTAGGAACATGGGTGTGCTGAATAATATTTTTAAGCTGAAGTGGAAACAATATTGTAATTAAGTAAACTAGCTTCAGTGAAATGGATTATATCACGCTTCTGCATTTTCGTTTCCAGAAATGACTTGAAGTCATTTTGTTTCCTACCAAACTCTCCCAGGCCATGACAACTTGATGCAGCGAAAACACACTATCTTGAGGCTTAGGGAAACTGGTCTTTGTTCCCATCTTCTCACACACTAGGTATACAAGTCCCTTGTCTCGGTTCTGTCTTTAGGGCAAGACCCCTGTGACAAATCATGGCTTCTCGTCATTCTTATTTTCTCTCTCCTTTTTATTACATCTTCAGCATGTACTGTACTTGTCAAAGCTCATTCTTTTAGCAGCATAATTTCATTGACCTGGTACTGAGGAACGAGATCAGATGTGATCACAGAACAGTCGAGTTCAGTGATCTCCAGTCACTTCACTCTTTGACTTAGTCATGCTTGTAGGTAGTCAGAAACATCAAAGTGATCAGTAAGACCCAGGGCAACTTTACCTCTTAATGGTACTTTGCGACATTTTCCACCAGAAGTAGCTTTATACTACTTTGATGCAATGTGGGACCCTCCTTAGTAGCTAAGTATCTTTTTCCATTAGGGGCAAGTTCAGATATGGTAGAATCTTAACATTTCTCCATTCCCAATGAAAAGTTCACATGTGATGAATTACCAGCCCATTAGCTACAGGTCTGAATGTATCAGAAGAAGAGACCTGAGGAACTTGCTTAGCCACAAAATGGTGAGAGGAGCGAACTAGAGAGATCATTCCTTTTGTGCCAGAACTGTGTCTTGCTGTGTCATGTCCTGCTCAACATCTAGTCCAGTGAGACTAGTAGATGTTCAGTTGACATCTTGGTTTTTGAAATGAGTTATCTGGAAAGCTCCTTTATCAGATGGTGTCAAGAAGGGGTCTTCAGTCCGACAGATCTGTACATCTTGCTCTGTTGCACAGCTAAGACAGTGCCTGGCACTTGGCAGGTATTCAGTACAGCTCAGTAAGAAATGTTTATCTTTGAGATATGGCATGTTACAGCATAGGTAGTCTTTTTAATTTGAAAAATCAGAATACTCAGTTACTAGGTTACCTTCAGTTGCTGGTTGTCTCTATATTATGTAAAGTATAGTAAAAAAAAATTTTTACCAGGGAATTAGGTGGAGCACTGAGCTACGATTTAAGAACTCAGGCTTTGAAATCATAGAATGAAAGCTTTAATTGAATCCATGTCACAAATTGTGGAGTGTCTGCCATGATGAGTCAGACATGGTATTCTTACGAAGGAAATCACCTGTCATTTGAACTTTGTGGAATACCCATTCCCTAACACTGTAGCCTACTATTTGGTTATTAGAAAAATGTATAGTTAACTTTCTGACTTTTCAATACTGAGGTTTTGGAGTATATCAAATATAATAATGTGAAGAAAAGTTTGCAAGTGATGAATTACCAGCCCATTAGCTACAGGTCTGAATGTATCAGAAGAAGAGACCTGAGGAACTTGCTTAGCCACAAAATGGTGAGAGGAGCGAACTAGAGAGATCATTCCTTTTGTGCCAGAACTGTGTCTTGCTGTGTCATGTCCTGCTCAACATCTAGTCCAGTGAGACTAGTAGATGTTCAGTTGACATCTTGGTTTTTGAAATGAGTTATCTGGAAAGCTCCTTTATCAGATGGTGTCAAGAAGGGGTCTTCAGTCCGACAGATCTGTACATCTTGCTCTGTTGCACAGCTAAGACAGTGCCTGGCACTTGGCAGGTATTCAGTACAGCTCAGTAAGAAATGTTTATCTTTGAGATATGGCATGTTACAGCATAGGTAGTCTTTTTAATTTGAAAAATCAGAATACTCAGTTACTAGGTTACCTTCAGTTGCTGGTTGTCTCTATATTATGTAAAGTATAGTAAAAAAAAATTTTTACCAGGGAATTAGGTGGAGCACTGAGCTACGATTTAAGAACTCAGGCTTTGAAATCATAGAATGAAAGCTTTAATTGAATCCATGTCACAAATTGTGGAGTGTCTGCCATGATGAGTCAGACATGGTATTCTTACGAAGGAAATCACCTGTCATTTGAACTTTGTGGAATACCCATTCCCTAACACTGTAGCCTACTATTTGGTTATTAGAAAAATGTATAGTTAACTTTCTGACTTTTCAATACTGAGGTTTTGGAGTATATCAAATATAATAATGTGAAGAAAAGTTTGCATCCTTTATGACTACTAAGGTGTCAGGGAAGTCATCTAAATATGTTTGGTTTTGTTTTTCTTTTTTAATTTATATATTTTTTATTCCTAGGCCTATCACGGTCATCATCAAGCACTGGAAGTGTTAGTACAGTCTTTGTTAGATCTTGATGTGAGAAATAGCAGTGGACGAACACCATTAGATCTGGCAGCATTTAAGGGCCATGTTGAATGTGTGGATGTACTCATTAATCAGGGAGCTTCAATCTTGGTAAAAGATTATATTTTAAAGAGAACACCTATACATGCAGCAGGTATGTCAAAAATCATATAATGATTTTATGTACCACTTTCCATCTAATACTCTTTTCTTTTCCAATTTCTTGTATATTACACTCCTAGTAATTGTTTTTGACTTTGAAAGATCATATGGTTCTGTGCTCAAGGAAAAGCCAACAGCAAGATTACTATCCCTTTAAAAAATCATTATCTGCCTTATAAATTGGGTTTATATAATAATCTAACTTCTGAAGTACTACTTAAACAAAACAATGCAATATACTTTACTTCTTTTTGGTGGAAGTTATTTTGAATTGGTATGTGCTTTCATTTAACAGTCAGTAAACATTTTGACTTACTGTGCCAGGTACTGCATTAAACATTTATTCAGACAAGAATTATAGAGCACCTACTTTATTTGCAAGAACTAGTCTATGATGTGATTGTGGTGTTGTGGATATGTGAAAATGGAAAAGTCTGTGACCATGCCACTGTGGCCACTTGATGCCAGCCAAGTCATAGCAGGTGCAGATTCACAGCTCTCAGCGGGACTTACTACAAGGTAGTGCCTGTCTTAAATAACCAGAACTGGGACCCTTGAAGAAATCCAAGACAAGTATTTTGTTCATTGCCAATAGGCCATCCTTATAGGATGAGACTCATTTCACTTGGTTTGGTTATTCTAGAGTGAGCCTGAAGGGCACAGGAGAGTGTGCGTCTCAGGCTTGGTTTCCAGTCCTTTGGAAAACCTGCATAGTAAAAGACTATAGGTAACATCCACTGTTGCTCCAGAACAGCCTTTCAGAAATTATCAGATAATTCAGGCAGGGCTCAAAGACAAAAATTTTAATAGTGGACTAAAACTCCTAATAAACATATGTATATAAACTGCTATGTGATAAGAATAAGAGGTCAGGATGCTGTTGTTATCTCTTCTGCGTCTTGAGAAACTAAGCACAGATCATTTGTCAAGTTAATTTAAAGCTTTCATGGAATATTTGCACTCTTAATAGGTAAATATTAAACCAAGACACTGACCAGTCCCTGAGAAGTGTCTAACCAATGTCATAAGGCCTATGAGTCCGACCCACTGAAAGAACTACAGGTTATTGTTTGTACCTACCTACTCAATAAATGCAAACCTTGGTTCTATAGACACCTTTCCCATTTGGAGATTTGCTAGGGGGTATCTAACTCATAAGTCATGAAAAGGATGTTTTTTTCTGTATGTGAACATCTTTTCCCACAGTGATGGTATGTATGCAATATTTTGGATATTGAACTTACATGACACAAAAGCTGGTCAGCAGCTGCTGTGTACTGAGTGTAAGTGAATTCATTAAAGAAATAATGAACCAAATAGGATTTTCTAGTGGGGTGCTTCAGTGCCACTGTTACTGATTACTGTGAGAGCTGCTGGCATGGTATGGCATACAGATAGGTGGCAAGGAGGTGGAAGTGATTTTGAGCCACGAGTCTTAAGTAATACCTCTTAGAATTGAATATAGCTCTTAAAAGGTACTATAGAATATAAGGTACCTAGCTTACTTTTATTAGTTTTGTCATCTTTTAATTATGAAAGAATAGTGATAGATATTCCTTTCTTCATTATTATGTGACTTACATATTTCCTTAAACTTAAAACTTTATTATCTTATGGGCAGGACCTGAATTTTGCCAAGAATTTAACTTACCTTACAAGCTTACTGTTTTCATGAGGTCACTTCTAATTATACCATTGCCCATTTTATGTATTTGGACATAGAAATATGTTGTTTATAAGGATCAGTTTTTCTTTTATTATATATGTATCAGTTGGAATTCTTTCATAGTAGCCCACTAACAGGTGACTTAAGTTACAGAAGTTTAGTTCCTACATAAAATGTCAGAGGCAGAGGCAGTTCCCGGGCTGGTTCAGCAGTAGTGTTAAATTAAAAGATTATGTAAGATTCTCTATTAAACACTCTTGCCTTTGCACTCATGTGACAGAGTGCTTGCTGCTTCTATACAGGTTCACATCTAAAATCAGGAGAGAAGGATGACTTTTCATTATTAGGAATAAAAATATTTCCCAGAAGCCCTCCAGACTTCTTAACATCTCAGTGGTCAGAACTGGACCAGAGCTCACCCTGAAGCCAGTCACCAGCAATGGAGAATGGAGTTGCTGTGATTGACTTGATCTTATCATGATTTCATCCCTTGGCTAGGGGCAGGCCACCTTCCCTTGACCACATTGCCACCACCAGAAAGTTAAATAAAATGAACATTCTGTTAGCAGGGTAGACGATAAGGGATAGCGATGGCCATGATTTACTGTAAGGAATTTATGTCTATTCAGTTTTACCAACAAAGGCAATAAAAATCTATAGGTATTTTTCTTTCTTGCCCATGAAGTTCAGTGAAACTGTCCCAAAATTCTATCTAGGAAATGTGCTCTTCCAATGACAGTTTCTGTTTTACCATTACATATAATTACTGAAATTTTTAAATATCACTTTACAGCAACAAATGGTCATTCAGAGTGTTTACGACTGCTAATAGGAAATGCAGAACCACAGAATGCAGTAGATATTCAAGATGGAAATGGACAGTAAGTTTTAATGATTTTTACATTATTTTTAGGATGTTGGTAATCTTCATACTTTTGCTCCTAAGTCTGTCATACACAGTGTTTAACTGAGTAACATTGTATATAGTTTTTTAATTTAAGTACATTTTAAAGGTACATCACAAAAAGGCATGTTTAGAACATAGGCTAGCGCACTGTTTGTCATGGAGTGGAGTCTGAAGTGCTAACACCAAACATTACCACTGTTGCCCAGGACTCCTCTGATGCTGTCTGTCCTTAACGGGCACACAGACTGTGTCTACTCATTGCTGAACAAAGGGGCTGACATCGATGCCAAAGACAAGTGGGGAAGGACAGCATTGCATAGAGGGGTAAGCAAAGAGATCCCATTTCTTTACAAAGTTTTTATGACCTCATTTACTTAAAACTGAACTCTAGGCTTCATTTATTTTATCTTCATTCAATTTTTACCAAATAATCTTTATCGTTATCTTTGAGCATCGTAGTTTTTGAACACTAATTTTAAACAACTACTAACAATTAATCCAGGGAACAGGATTGTTGGAACAAAACTTTAAAACTGTGAATTCTTGAGTAGAATTAATATCAATTCTTTTTCCATTATCACTATTTTCTTAAATGTTTTTATCTTTTTTACCTTTGAAATGTCATAATTGTCAGTGAATTCTAAGTTCATCTATTCCTGTTTTTCATACTCCTTATATTCTGACAGTTACTGCTTTACCTGAATTTCTAAGTCACTTTGATTAAAAATACTGAATTACTCAAAAAATGATACATGCCTTAATTGGATGAAGGATATGGGGAATATGGACTTAAAATTTTTTAATTAGATTTAGTTGACATGTAGTGCCCAGCATAATATATTCAACTTACATGCAAATAATTTTTCTTTCAGGCAGTTACAGGCCATGAAGAATGTGTAGATGCATTACTTCAGCATGGTGCTAAGTGCTTACTTCGGGATAGCAGGGGCTGCACTCCTATACATTTGGCAGCTGCCTGTGGACACATTGGTGTTGTTGGAGCCCTTTTGCAGTCAGCAGCATCTGTGGATGCAAATCCAGCCATAGCAGACAATCATGGGTATACAGCACTTCACTGGGCCTGCTACAACGGTTAAGTATACATATGTAAACCTACATTAGATGCATATATGTACCAACCAGAGATGACTAACTATAACATACCCTGATAGTCATGAGAATGGCATATTTACAAAGCAAATTTAAAGTTTAAGATGATTGGGAAGCATAGGAATAGTCTGTGTGGTTGTAGCTTACTCCTATCCCTTGTCATGCTATAGCCAGTTAGCATGCTGTCTGTAATGTTTTATACTTCTTATCAAAGGTGTTTTGAGCTATCTCTAAGTTTGAAATTTGTCTTAGACCTTTGCCTTTTTTTTTTTTTTTTTTTTTTTT